ATAAGAGCAAGGTGGGGTTATCGAAAAAATGATTAGTAGAAATTTCACCCACCTAATTAACCCATATAGTGTGTATATGTAGTGCAAATTCCCTAACTAACTAAACGGCGTCGTAGACTGAAAAATAGAAAATATCAAAAATTGCAATAGTCTATCTATCTCCTCCTTTACTCTATTTTTCCTCCAATTTCTTCACTTAATTCGTCGCACTGTCTAGGGTTTCGTGTTTCGCCTCTTCTTCGAGGAATCGATCTTGCGTGATAACAGGTTTGTCTAATGTTTGAATTCATCATTTTCTTCATGATCTCGACTTCGATCTTTAACTAATTTGATAAACTTCGTCTGGTTTCCCCCAAAATCTGTGTTTTTTAGTTCATGTAAATTAGGGTAATTTTCTCGAATCTTGTATCTGATTTTCGTTGAATTTAGAGATTCACAAGTTATGGATTTTCGGTTCTCTAATCTAATTTAAGGTAGCAATTATTGAGATTCTTTCAAGTTTAAAAGTTTTCTGGGTATTCAAGCTTTTCTTCGGTTCCTTTTCTCAATTCGATTATCGTAAAAGTAATGATTTTTGTTTTTTCAATTTCACAATTGACAAATTATTGAGATTTCTTTGAAGTTGAATCTTATGGGTACTTTTTCTTAATCCAAATTTGGTATTTTTTGGTGAAAGTATTGATATTTTTGATTCTCTGGCTGATTCAAAGGGCTTAAACAATGGGAAAGAGGAAATCAAGAGCAAAGCCAGCTCCAACGAAGCGAATGGACAAGCTTGACACAGTCTTTAGTTGTCCTTTTTGCAATCACGGGTCTAGTGTTGAATGCCTAATGTAAGAGATTTATGAATTACATATATGAGAATGAAATCTATTGAAATGAATTAAACTATATCTTTTGTTTTACTTCAGCAATATGAAGGAACTGATTGGTAAAGCAGAGTGTACAATCTGTGGTGAAAGCTATAGCACTACTATCACAGGTATAAAATTTCTTGTTTTTTCGTTCCATCTTTCGAAACTTTTAGTATCAGTTTTGTTAAACATCTAATCTTTCTTTTGTGTGTTCTGTTTTCTTGTAGCTTTGACTGAAGCTATAGACATGTAAGTACAAATATTTTTCAACTATGTATTTTCGCTTCTCTTGTTTAATGTTTATTTCGACCTGTTTTTCTAAATCTCTGGTTTGTTCGGAATGAATGCAGCTATAGCGAATGGATCGATGAGTGCGAGAGGGTTAATACCGTG